GCTAAGCCTGGTATCCAGCGACCTGGGACTCAGTGGCGACCACCCCCGCCGGGGACCCAGCACAGCCCAGGGACCCAGACCCCACCAGACAGCCACCGGGATTGATCAGGCAGACGGCAAAAATCTTAAACCCCCTGACCCGGGAGCCACGAACACTCAGGCAGACCAAGGCACCACACTCCACAACAGGTGTGGCAGGGGGAGGGGAGACGGAGATCTAAATCATCAAAAGAAGTCCCAGGAGAAGAGAGGAGTCAAAGGCCCCACCTGACATATACAGGTGCTGGCCAGTAAATTAGAATATCATCAAAAGGTTGAAAATATTTCAGTAATTCCATTCAAAACGTGAAACTTGTACATTATATTCATGCAATGCACACAGACCAATGTATTTCCAATGTTCATTACATTTAAATTTGATATTCATAAGTGACAACTAATGAAAACTCCAAATTTGGTATCTCAAAAAATTAGAATATTCTGAAAAGGCTGAATATAGAAGACACCTGCTGCCACTCTAATCAGCTGATTTACTCAAAACACCTGCAAAGGCCTTTAAAAGGTCCCTCAGTCTTGTTTTGAAGGCACCACAATCATGGGGAAGACTTCTGACTTAACAGCTGTCCAAAAGACAATCATTGACACCTTGCACAAGGAGGGCAAGACACAAAAGGTGATTGCTAAAGAAGCTGGCTGTTCGCAGAGCTCTGTGTCCAAGCACATTAACAGACAGGCGAAGGGACGGAAAAAATGTGGTAGAAAAAAGTGTACAAGCTCTAGGGATAACCGCACCCTGCAGAGAATTGTGACGACAAACCCATTCAAAAATGTGGGGGAGATCCACAAAGAGTGGACTGCAGCTGGAGTCAGCGCTTCAAGAACCACCACGAGGAGACTCATGAAAGACATGGGATTCAGGTGTCGCATTCCGTGTGTCAAGCCACTCTTGAACAAGAAACAGCGCAAGAAGCGTCTCGCCTGGGCCAAGGACAAAAAGGACTGGACTGATGCTGAGTGGTCCAAAGTTATGTTTTCTGATGAAAGCAAGTTCTGCATTTCCTTTGGAAATCAAGGACCCAGAGTCTGGAGGAAGAGCGGAGAAGCACAGAATCCACGTTGCATGAGGTCCAGTGTAAAGTTTCCACCGTCAGTGATGGTGTGGGGTGCCATGTCATCTGCCGGTGTTGGCCCACTCTGTTTCCTGAGGTCCAGGGTCAATGCAGCCGTCTACCAGGAAGTTTTAGAGCACTTCATGCTTCCTGCTGCTGACCAACTTTATGGGGATGCAGACTTCACCTTTCAACAGGACTTGGCACCTGCACACAGTGCCAAAACCACCAGCACCTGGTTCAAGGACCATGGTATCCCTGTCCTTGATTGGCCAGCAAACTCGCCTGACCTTAACCCCATAGAAAATCTATGGGGTATTGTGAAGCGGAGGATGCAATACGCTAGACCCAACAATGCAGAGGAGCTGAAGACGACTATCAGAGCAACCTGGGCTCTCATAACACCTGAGCAGTGCCACAGACTGATCGAGTCCATGCCACGCCGCATAACTGCAGTTATTGAGGCAAAAGGAGCCCCGACTAAGTATTGAGTGCTATACATGCACATTCTTTTCATGTTCATTCTTTTCAGTTGGCCAACATTAGAGAAACAAACATTTTTTCATTGGCCTTTAGAATATTCTAATTTTCTGAGATACCAGATTTGATGTTTTCATTGGTTGTCACCTATAAATATCAAAATTAAACGTAATAAACATCGGAAATACATTGGTCTGTGTGCATTGCATGAATATAATGTACAAGTTTCACGTTTTGAATGGAATTACTGAAATATTTTCAACCTTTTGATGATATTCTAATTTACTGGCCAGCACCTGTACAGTCATACACAAACACAGTCACACGCTCCCTCCCTCATGCTCACACATGCACATACAACCAAAGACTTACAAAAATGCACACCAGACATCCACTCATGCTCCCCATACACATCCTATTCACTCAGGTCCCAGTACTGCTGCACATGGGGTACAACCATTACCGGTTACCAGAGTTTGACCCTTTCTGCTGGGGTGCTGATGAGCAGGCTCCCCCGCCCAATGCTGAGCACAGCAACCCACCACCCCAGACCCCAACCAGACCTCCCTCCTAGCCTCCAGCCCCAGGAAGCCAAGCAACAACAGAGGTGTTCTAAGACCCCTAGTCTCCCTCCGCCTGCTCCAATATAGTGTTGTTGTGTGTTGATGAGGTGTATTCCATGGCTGTGATGAGCGGGCAGTGCAGGCATTGTCTGGCCTATGCCAGCTGATGCCACCGCACCACCCCACTTGTACCCACAGCCCTCGGTGTCTAGGTGCAGTTTAAAATTGGAAGTGGGCACCGGCACTCGGGAGGAGGCTGAGAAGTCCCCCTGCCAACTGCCGTTGAATGTGCTCACTCCCAAGGCCCTAAGTGTGTGTTTGCGTGGAATGTCGTTGGTGGAAGTGTATAAGGTGCAAATAAAATTGGGGGGCAGGTTGCCACAGGAATGCGGAAATGGGGTCCAAACCCGCACTCCCTGACTCGTCCATCCCCCAAGGTCCTATGTGCATGTTTGTGCGATGATGTGAGGGAGCAGGAGGAGAGAAATATGCAGGGATGGGGAGGAATGGCTGGTTGGGCTTAGCCCTCCAGGAAGCCAGCTCCCCCACTGGCCCCAATAGGCACCTCTGTTGTCATAATGCCACCCAGGGCATGGAGACCCAAGCCTATCTTGCCAGGGCCCAAAGCAGCAGCATCGCAGAGCCTCGCAGAGTCCGAGGGCACCAACCTAGCCCCACCCCAGCAGAATATCTATGCCCATCGCTGCATTTGCACATTTTCCAGAATATACAAGATGTAGGACATCCAGTTAAGGTTGGGTCCTCCCTCTCCTGGACCTCCCCCTCCCATGTGATGGGACAGCAGAGGAGCCAAGGTCTACCCGAGGCCCCTGAACCCGGGCCAGGCACTGCTGCATGTTCCTGCCTTCTTCCCAGCAGCATACATGTCAGGACCCATCCCCCAAGGCCCTGCCCAGATCCCCACACGGGGCCGGCCACCCCCACACCCCGAGCCCCCAGGCCCCCATCCAGGCCCGCCCAGGGGCAATGCAGCTGCCAGGCAGTGACCCATGGCCGCCGCCAAGACCTCCAAGGGGCCCCACTCACAACCGCCAGTAGTCCACCCCCCGAGGCAACCCAAGCACCTCCAGAGGGGGGCAACGGCCCCCCAGTTCCAGACACTCCCAGTGAACCCACCTCCAGGGAACATCCGGATACTCCAAACTCAGACCCTCCACCCCCTCACCCACATCATCCCGCAGGACAATATCAATGGTCCCCCATCATCGCTATGTGATGGAACCGATCAAAGGAGCTCAGAGAGATTGATTTGAAGTGGAAGCAGAGGCTAAATCAAGTGTAATATGATCTAACAAAAGATTTCTATACTGGTTAATGCAGAGCGTTTCTCAATTTTTCCAATTCAAGAGGATAGTTTTCTTAGCGATGCATATGGCAGTCAGAGCCACGTGAACCAAAGATGTTTCAATCAGGACATCGTCCAGGTTTCCCAGTAAACAAAGAGAGGGGGAAGTTGGCAAATGACATTTCAGACACTTATATATATATATATTTTGGAAGTTAAGCAAATGCATGGATGGAAGTAGATATTCTGCTGGGGTGGGGTTGGGCTCGTGCCATCGGACTCCATGGGGCTCTGCATTACTGCTGCTTTGGGCCCTGGTGAGATGGGCTGGGGTCTCCATGCCCTGGGTGGCATTTTGGGAACAGAGTTGCCTATTGGGGCCAGTGGGAGCTGGCTCAACTGGAGGGCTTAGGCCAACCAGCCATTCCTCTCCACCCCACACATTTTTCTCCTCCTGCTCCTTCACATGATCACGTAGGACCTTAGGGGGTGAATGGGGTGTGTATGGGGAGCCTGAGTGGGTGTCCGGCATGCATTTTTGTAAGTCTTAGGTTGTTTGTGTATGTGTGAGCATGAGGGCGGGAGTGTGTGACCGTGCCTGTGTATGACTGTATGTGTCAGGTGGGGTCTTGGACTCCTCCGCTCTCCTGGGACTTCTTGTGTTGCTACTCATCTTCACCTACCCTCCCCCTGCCACATTTGGTGTGGTGCCTTGGTCTGCCTGAGTGTTTGCAGCTATTGGGTCAGAGGGCTTAAGATTTTTGGCATCTGTCTGATGGATCCCGGTGTGTGCCTGGTGGGGTCTGAGTCCCTGGGCTCTGTTGGGTCCCCGGCGGGGCTGGTCGCCCCTGGGTCCTGGGTCACAGGGTTCCTGGCTCAGCCGGCCTGTGGGCTTGCCGCTGATATCTCCCGGGAAACTGCTGGCTGCTGGTTGTGGCTCCCCGGGGCAATCCTCTGTGCCTTTCGAGGGGAGCTGGGGCTTTTCTGGTTGGTTTGTTGGTTCTGACCATTGCTGGACGTTACATTACAGTCTCCCAGGGGTCTCTGCGCTCTGGGACAGCTCCTGGATCTCTGGGACTTGGAGCTCCCTCCATCTCCTACACATCCTTGGGGGGCAGATTTGTGGCCCCTCACTCTCTATTGGACGCTCCTATAGAGAAACCTTACATGTACAAGCGCGTGTACACACACAGGTGCTCACATGGTGCTCTCATAAGTATGGACTTGGGCGTGTTCAACACATGTCTTAAGGCTGTGGTTGGCACTAAATGCATTGTGAGTTATTATCGTGTGATTGTTCAGTTAAACAATGTTGATTTTATATTTCCTCATCAGGTTGACACAGTAACAGCTACTCTAGGTCTGGAAGCAGACTCTTGTTCATCATTGACTGTTTATTTTAAGTCCCCCCCCGGTCTTCCTTTTGTGTCTTCCTCCTACTTTAATGTTAATGGTTACTCTGTTAATGGTTACTCTGTAATGCCATTATTTGTCTAATTGTTACATCAGAAGTTTACAGTTTGTCATTACTCTGATCTACAGACAAAGTGGGATTGGGATAGGATCCATGTGTGCACGGATTGGGGGTGTCCTTGCCCCTATGATGTACCTCCTGAGGGGTATCAGTCCTCATGCGCCCATGGTTCTGTCTGGTCTCTGTCCTCTGTTGGGTTCAGTCCTCACCCTGCTGTTGCCTGAGACGGCAAACAAACCACTGCCAGACACCATAGAAGATGTGGAGGGAACCAACCTCAGGTTTGACTTCACTGGTTTAACTTTTCTAATGCAGTTGATGTTCAGACTATAAGCTTTGCCAGATCTCTTGGTCCAAACTTACATCTGCTAAGAATGCTCTAATGCAATTAAGTGATTTTCAAAGGATCAGAACCAGGTGAAGACGATGGGACTTAACCTTCTAAAACGACAAACTTGTTATTTTAATTCCTCCTCTGATATTTATTGTAAACATAATCTAATGGCAGCTTGTTACAGCACAGCCACCTAGTTTGATGCATTGAGAAAAATAAGTAACTGAAGTTTGTTTTCTTTCTAGTCTGGGTGTACAGCCCAGCTCACCATGTTCTTCAGCCTGTAGCTCAAGGAAGAGTCCATTGACTTTGTTCCTGGTTCCTCCACCATCACCTGGGACCAGCTGTGAATCATCCAGCAATCAGTCAGATGGGAGCTGCTGAGTGGCTCATAAAGGACTTCCTGTTCTGCCTGCCGTTGGGGAGCAGCTGTGTGCCATTTCCCGCATCTGGCCAGCTTTGTTTGAACAATGTGAAGTTTGTGAACTTTGGTGGTTTACTGGTGTGTAATTGTTGCTTGTTAGGATTGTTAGCTCTTAAAACTTAGTTTAGGTTATTTGTTTTTGAAAGTTCTTACCCCGAGTTTAAAGTGGGTTAGCTGTCCACTTTAGTTTTGTTTAGGTGTGGTGACTGCTTTAGTTTGAATGTTTGGAATAACCTCGGTATTGAGCGCCCTAAGTTCATTCCTTATTTTGCCCTGTGTGCCAGTGGGCCTTTCTCTGTGTGTTCTGTTATTTCTTATCTGTGCTTTTCTGGATATTGTAATTTTTTTTTACCTTTTGCTATTAAATGCATGAGAGGGGTGGCTTGGGCAACATGTGTACAATAGGAGGAAAGAAAATTAAACAGTGCTTCAAAGGTCAGGCAAGAGAATAGCAGACTTTGACAAGCCATTTAAACCTTTAACAACATTAGGAACTCTGTAATTTCTTTGTTTATATAGTAATTAATGAATCCTAGTACTAATTCTATTCTTATTAGTCCAAGTGGCAAATGAAGACAACAGCTTTGTTGTTACTAGTAGAAATGATAATTAAGGAACTTGTCCACGTAAACATTTGTGGTGAGTTGACTTAGATGGAGGGGGAGGATGCCGGTCAGACCTGCCAGGCCCAAACGTATTGTCAGGATCTGCTGGGAACATCTGGCAGTCTCCTGTCAGAAGAAGCTTCAATTCTCACCTCCGACAGAACCTCCCAAATGTTCTGGGGAGGCGGAGGACATCGAGTCATGTGGGCATGTTTCGTCATGATTGCCTGTCATGGCAGCAACCCCCTAACCCACTAGTGGACACCGACGGTTAGGGATGCTGTCAAGCAATATTGCATGGACATCTGGGGCAGGTCAACTGGATTACAGACCGGGGTGGTGGTCCAACTATGGGGATCACACTCCTGACCCTCCCTGGTAAGGTCTATTCAGGGGTTTTGGAGAGGAGGATTCATCATATAGTTGAACCTTGGACTCAGGAGGAACAATGTGGTTTTCATCCTGGCCGTGGAACACTGGACCAGCTCTGTACACTCTGGGGGTCCTGGAGGGTGTGTGGGAGTTTGCCCAACTGATTTCCATGTGTTTTGTGGATTTGCAGAGGGTGTTCGACTGCGTCCCTCGGGGGACCCTGTGGGGGGTAGTCTGGGAGTATGGGGTACCAGGCCCTGTGTTTAGAGCTGTTAGGTCCCTGTATGACATGTGTCAAAGCTTGGTCTACAGTAAGTCGGGTTTGTTTCTGGTGAGAATTGGAGTCTGCTTATAGACAGGATTTTCTTTCTCTCTCTGTAATCGTGCTGAAGGAAAATCCTCATTGGGTAACTGACTGTCTTCACGCTCTGTGATTGGCCAGTCACATAGAACGCCCGCCCCTCCCTACACACAAAACTCTCTAGCCGGCCGGGAGCGCAGTCCGTCCGGCTCATCCACACACACACACAGACAGTAACGGATCTCGCTGTGCTTGCTTCACTGTTTCTCACGTTTCTTCAGTTTTCCCTAGGTTTTCTTCAGCTCGCCTCTTTTTCGGTTGAATATTTAAAGTTACTTTTTTCGTAACTTACATGGTGCATTTGACAAGACAGAGCTGACGTCCTGCATCAGTCACTCACTACCTCCGCTCCGGTCGGGTTCTCTCTCTCTCTCTCTCTCTCTCTCTCTCTCTCTCTCTCTCTCTCTCTCTCTCTCTCTCTCATTTTGTGGGTACATCTCAGCTTTTATGCGCTGCAGCTGGAGAGGTCTGATGTGTTTCATCTGTGGTGAGTGGCGTGGAGCTCTCCATGGTGCTGAAGCAGAGCAGCGCATAGAGAAGTCTGGAGCTGCTTGAAGCAAAAGGTGAAGGGAAAACCCAGAGTTGGTAACACCCCCATACTTAAAGGAAAAAAGAAAGGATGTTAATTTCATCTTACTTTCTTTTGAAGAGGAGGGTTAACATTAAACAGTGGAAGAGTCCCCTGCTAATAGACACTAACTAAGATAGACCTAGTCTTCATGCGATCTGAATATTAAGCACAGGTGAATATCTCACAACAAAACCAGTAAAAGAGTGAAAGCCCATTTGAAAGCCTGTCCCAACTCTTCCTGGGGTGCTTACGAGAAGGTGTGAACCACCTACACTTACCAACATGTCACAACACCAAAAACACAAACAGATTAATCTCAAAGGGGAAAAATCTCTAAAAGCTATCCAGGGGAACTCAACCCACTACCAGTAAAATGGGGCTATTGAGGAGTAAATGACCGGGACAAACTGTCAGCAATAATGTTCTCAGATCCCTTTTTGTGCTGAATGTCCAGGTCGAAGTCCTGAAGAAACAGGGCCCACCTCATCAGTCTGTGGTTTGTGTTGTACATCCAGGATAAAAACACTAACGGATTATGGTCCATGTAGACCAACAGCTTATGCCCCATACACACATACTTCAAAATGTTGAAGTGCTAAAATCAGCATGAGTGCCTCTTTCTCAATGGTAGAATAGTTCAGTTGGCACGAGGTGAACTTCCTGGAGTAGAAGGCTACAGGGTGGTGTATCTCGGTGACATCCTCATGAACTAGGATGGCTCCCATCCCAACATCACTGGCATCCACCTCTAATCAAAAAGCCTTGGAGAGTTCTGGAGTCAAGAGAACCGGGGCACTGTTCAGCAGAAATTTTCAGCTCTCAAAGGCTGTCTGGGCAGCATTCGTTCATACATAAGTCTCATGGGTGATAGAGAGGTCAGAGGCGCAACAACAATGGCAACACTCTTGCAAAAACATCGGTAATAGCCGGCAATTCTGAGGAAACGTTGGAGTTCTCTCCAAGTAAACGGCCGGGGGAAGTCTAAAATCATGTGGACTTTGTCCTGATCTAATCTTATATAACCGTGACCTACTTCCTTTCCTAGGTACATCATAGCGGCCTTCACAACCTCACTTTTGGCAAGGTGTTACACCCCTTCCCAGGCTAGGAGATCCAGGAAGGGGTAACACAAGTGAAACAGATCTACATCAAAGAAAATAACAAGAAAGTGCATCGCCTCTGCTTGAAAAAGGTATATTAAACCTAAATAGCCCCTATACAAAAGGTGGACAAAAAGGTTCTTAAGTAAATATATGGGATGTAACTAAAGGTGGTTGCTATAAAACACAATGTAAATGTGACTAAAAAGAGGTGGTTAGCAAGTGAGATTATCCAAAACAAGGTGAGCCCACAGGAGGTAACCTGGCTCAACCAAAGCTTATAAAACTCATTTAAAGCTCATAAAGAGCACAAAAGCTCATATTAGCTCATAAAAGCACATAAAGCTTCCAAAACCGATTTTAACTTATCCCAGTCATAAAGTCTCTCATAAACAAAGCTCCCAGTAATTGTGGAGAGCACCAGACATAATCTGATCCCATCCTCGAATGGGTGACAAACACAAGGATTTAAAGGCAGCTCATCAAGAGAGGATCTGCTCCACCTTGGTCTGGTAGGATCCATGGAATGTCACTCTCCATGGTGCTGAACATGCTGAGTAGCAGGCAGGGGTTCTGGAAAGCAGTGTGTGCTGGAGCGCTGCTCTCCAGGGTGCAGATCCACTGGAAATAGACAAAACGAGCCTTAAGAGACCATGGAGCCACTGGACCTTCTCAGTATGGGAAAGCAACACCCAGGGCTCAACACCTGCGGGACCCCAAAGGTACAGGGGGCAGCAGTAGCTCAACAGGTTGAGCGGGTTGTCCAGTAATCGGAAGGTTGCAGGTTCGATCCTGGCTCCGGACAGAGAATTCTGCAGTTGTGTCCTTGGGCAAGACACTTAACCCACCTTGCCTGCTGGTGGTGGTCGGAGGGTCCGGTGGCGCCAGTGCTCGGCAGCCTCGCCTCTGTCAGTGTGCCCCAGGGCAGCTGTGGCTACATCGTAGCTCATCACCATCAGTATGTGAATGTTTGTGTGAATGGGTGAATGACTGATTGTGTTGTAAAGCACCTTGGGGGGTTCCAGGACTCTAGAAGGCGCTATATCAAATACAGACCATTTATAATCATTAAATGAACAAGATGTTTACATCAAATGTTTGAATAATCTGTGCTTTAACTAATGATGGCTTGAAAATGAATATTGCTCTTACAATGATCCATTTCAGATCTTATCTACACCAAATCAGTATGTGTTTTTTTTAACAAGTTAATCAACATTTATATTCATACACATTATAATAAGATACGTATGAATCATCGACATATATACTGGACAGTTCGTTTCCATAGGCTCCAATTATAAGTTTTTGTGATAAAATGGGAGATGGCCACTGTGACCGTGTCACAGGTTCCGTCAAGTGAAGTCCTTACTCTGAGAGGAGCTTTACAAGTGCGGGTCATTACAGAAGTCCATAGAAGAAACCACAGTGCCGACTAGACCGGTCTCGAGATGTCTCCAGGTCACGACAGGTAGTTATTTGCGTCTATGGAGGACTCGTAAGGAGTCTAAGCTGGTTCAGCTTTATTCTGAAGGAACCGTTTGCGGTATCAGTTGTAGCGTGCAACAGGTTTTGACAGCTTGTCAAAGATGCAATGGCAGCAGAGGCTTCCTCCGATGGCCAGTCAGAGTTAGGCTCAACTGAAATCACTCAGGAAGTGATGCTGTTTGAATAATGGCCATATTTTGCTTCACTGATAAGTTAGAACTTGCCCTGTAAAGGGGTTTTGCCAACAAACTCAGATACACACCTCCCTCAGATATGAAGATGCTGATTTTGTGGATAAGAAGATATCTATGTGCAGTGACATTAATTTTAACTTGTGTCATGGAGATATGGTGAGTGTGTCTTGTCTAGTCAGTGTGCTGATTCAATATATGGGTCATATGTTTCATTTCATCCTTCTTAATCTTTCAATGTAATAATAATATTCATTTCAACTTCAGTAATTTAAGCACAAATTAATCAAAACATTTCATTTAACCGTATTGTCCATTTCATTATATGATTAAATGATTAGTTACTCATATTGTTCATCTGTCTTGTTCTGTGAATAAAAACCAGTCTTAGATAAAAGTGAGCTTGCAAGAGACCTTGGCCAACCAACAGTATCTTTCTTGCAGATTAAAGGCACCAGTTCAGACTTATGTCTCCAAATGGCCAGATACTGAAGAGGTCAGACTGTAGGTGGAAAACTGACCATTCCTGGAGGCTACAGCTATATCAGCTGCAGTTGTTTAATCCTCTTAAAGCCATGTTCCTCAAACGTTGGAAGGTGGTAGGTGCGTTTCGCATCCCAAAAGGCATCACAGTGTATTGGAGGAATGTGTCTGGTGTCACAATAGCTGAAATCTCTGAAGCTGAGGGAGTTAATGGAACTTGCCAATATCCCTTGAGGAGATCGAGTTTAGTTACACATGTGGCCCCTCC